ACACATTCCCGCATGCAATTTTTACGACGGTTCCCGTAAGAGCACGCCGAACAAAATCACATTCACGGAGACATTTGGAATAGGAGGAGCGAGAGGAAACCGGAATGGGAAGAATGGAAGGAAACCGGAATGGGAGGAAGTCGAGATAGGAGTAAGAGGAAGCCGGAAGGAAGCCGGAATGTGAGGAAGCCAAACTGGGAGGATTGGGAGGAAACCGGAATGGGAGGAATGGGAGGACGCCAGAATGGGAGGAAGCTGGAAGGAAACCAGAAGGATGGGAGGAAGCCGGAACGGGAGGAATGAGAGGAAGCCGGAAGGAAACCGGAATGATGGGAGGAAGCCAGAATGGGAGGAGTGGGAGGAAGCCAGAAGGAATTTGGAATCGGAGGAAGTCGACATGGGAGGAAACCGGAATGGGAGGAATAGAAGGAAGCCAGAATGGGAGGATGCCGGAATGGGAGGAATGGGAGGAAATTGGAGTGGGAGGAAACCGGAATGAGAAGAAGCCAGAATGGAAGGAAGCCGGAATGGGAGGAAGCCGGAATGGGAAGAATGGGAGGAAGCCGGAATGGGAGGAAGCCGGAATAGGAGGAATGCGAGGAATAGGAGGAAAAAGGAAAAGAAGAGGAACACGACGAGAAGACATTGGATGAATGCAATTATGTCTCCACGCGTGCGAGGCATATTCGGCGGGCAACCACGCAATTGGGGGAGTCGTAGCTCTCTGGCCAGGCCGCACCTGCCAATAGATCGTGGTTTCGGTGTCGTAATTTTCCGCACCGGGGTTTCCTCATATTCCGAGTCGCTCGGTGTCGTTGCTCACCCTATTCCATTTCAGCGCCGCTTTCCCGACGATTACAGAGATTCCTATCATTACAGAAGCAACGGGTAAACCATACATGTTTTTTGTAATTCGTGTATGTTTTTTGTTTGATTTCGTTAGGTTTCCGTTACGCGTGCGAAATTAATTGCGTCGATATTGGAAGCAATGCAATGATATTGAAACTTTATCATAATACCGAAACTTGTACGTGATACCGAAACCATTAATCAATATTGAATCCCGTGCTGCCGGATGCGAAGGGCACGGGATTCGGTACCCGTTTTTGGTTTCGGTAACATTGGTTTCAGTACCATTTCCCGTCATCCTTTCTCTTTTTTCTTATTTTTTTCCTCTCTCCCTCCTTTTTCCTTTCCCATCCCCTCCCCTCCTCTTTTTCTTTAGGTTGATCGGTGCGCGTAGTCCCGGATAAATATCCCTTGATTTGAACGTATCCAATAACATGTAGCGGCGGTGGCTTTTTTTTTCGCGTGCTGCGCGCGCCTGACGCGCGCGGCGAACGGGAACCTCCGTTCGAACACACTTGCAAGGGCGGTCCCACTATCGATATACACGGCTGCTGTCTTCGTAACCAAATCTATGTTGGCAGTCAGGCGCGAAGAAATGCAGTCGACCAACACTCGACAATTTGGTTGTTCTCCTCGCAGGGCATAAGACGCGAACGACGACGACCGCCGCCACTGTCATTGACGATCGACGCCAACGCCCACGACGACGACGATGTCGTCGTCGTCGTCGCTGTCGCCGTCGTCGGTCGTCACTGGCGGTGGTGGTGGTCGTCTTTGGTGTCTGGTTCGGAAATTCTAGAAGCTTCGCGTATCCCCACCAGCCCGTCCAGAAATGAGTCCCAGGGGAGTGGAGGTTACGAGGGAAGCGGGGGAGCATGCAGAAGAACAAAGGGCGGGGTGAGCCGCCATATACCCCAAGAGGGGGAGGATGTAGGAGGAGCCATCGTCGTCGGAGTAGGAGGAGGAAGAGGAGGAGCAGGAGGAGGAGCACGAGGAGGAGGAGGAGGAATAGAAGGAGGAGGAGATGGAGGACTGTGAGGACGAGAAGGAGGAAAAGGAGAAGGAGGAGGAGGAGGAGGAGGAGGGGGAGGGGGAGGAGGGAGGAGGAGGGAGGAGGAAGAAAAAGAGGAGGAGGAGGAGGAGGACAATTGCGAGCTTGGGGGCCTCTTGGGCCGTCCTTGGGGCCTCTTGGCGGTCCCGGGTGCATCTTGCGTATCTCGGGGAGCCTCTTGTGGCCTCTTGGAGGTCTCTTGGGGGCCTCTTGGAGGCCTCTTGGGAACCTCTTGGGGCCTCTTGGGGCGCTCTTGGGGCGCTCTTGGGAGCTTTCGAGGCGCTCTTTGGGCCATCTTGGAGGGGATCTATCAAAGAAGGGGGGGTCCCCAATTAGCGCTGCCCCTCTAGAGTGCCTCGAGTCGCCTCTTGGGCCCCCCCAAGAGGCCAAAATCCTTCCAAAACCTATGTAAAATTAATGTTTTTTGTTTTCTCGCCTTTTCCCTCTTGGAGCCGTCTTGTGAGCCTCTTGGGCCTCTTGAGGGACTCTTGGGGGCCTCTTGAAGGCCTCTTGGGCGCCTCTTGGGGCCTCTTGGGGCTCTCTTGGGGCGCTCTTGGGGCGCTCTTGGGAGCCTTCGAGGCGCTCTTGGAGCCATCTTGGAGGAGATCTATCAAAGAAGGGGGGGTCCCCAATTAGCGCTGCCCCTCTAGATACAGTGCCTCGAGTCGCCTCTTGGGCGCCCCAAAAGGCCAAAATCCTTCCAAAACCTAGGTAAAATCAATGTTTTTTGTTTTCTCGCCTTTTCGCTCTTGGAGCCGTCTTGGGTCATCTTGGGGCCTCTTGGAAGTCTCTTGGCAACGTCTGGTAGGTTTCTTGGGGGCCTCTTGCGGTCTCTTGGGGCCCTCTTGAGGCGCTCTTGGGAGCCTTCGGGGCGCTCTTTGGGCCATCTTGGAGGAGATCTATCAAAAAAAGGGAGGGTTGCTTATTAGCCCCGCCCCTCCAGAGTGCCTCGAGTCGCCTCTTGGGCCACCCCAAGATGCCAAAATCCTTCCAAAACCTAGGTGAAATAAATGTTTTGTGTTTTCTCGCATGTTCGCTCTTGGAGCTGTCTTGGGCCATCTTCGACGCTCTGACACCTCGCGACTGGCCCCGTCCAGGTCAGTGGGGAGGGGTAAGGGGAAGGGTAAACTCCTCCCCGAAGGGGAAGAAGGGGGTTGGCAGAGGAAACTCTCTAAGCCACCTACGCCCTAAAGGGCTGGTGGGATTTGTTTGGCTGGCCACTCCTGGAGCACGAAGGCCATTAGTACGAATATTTCGTGCCATGTCCCGCCGTTGATATGGATTCCGAACCGGCCAAATGACATAAACTGAGATGTCTGCGCGCCACGATTGCGCGTCCTACCACAAGCGTACTTGATATGACGGGTCTTCATTGTTCGCGAACTCCAGGAACTTGTCCAGCAAGAAAGCGCAACGAAGAACGAGAATGCGGTTGCAAGTAGAAGAACATCCGGGATCAATCGCAAAATTGCGGTATCGGCGCACAGCGTTCGGCAAAATAATTCCATTTGTTTGGGCTAGCAAATCCAAAGATTGTCCTGTGTTTTGTTCCATCGTTGCCCCCGTGGGCGGTGTACACCGCACTGGATTTCGGAACAATGCTTGGATGTCGCCTCTCACCACCGATCAGTTGCCTTCTGAACCCGCCATTGAGGCTGTTTTGAATGTTTTTTTTTTTTTTTTTTTTTTTTTTTTTTTTTTTTTTTTTTTTTTTTTTTTTTTTTTTTTTTCCAATCGCTCTTGCAGCGCAGACATAAAAGGAACATGAACCACGCATCCACCTTTTAAATTTGAATGAACCCGCTTTAATGCACGAAGCGCCACTTTAACGGGCAGAGGGTCCAGTCGGCAAATTGGCATTGGTTGGCACGACTGAATTGGATCGTAAGAACGACTTCGTTTTATGCTCACAGAATATATCCCACGGCGCCGCTACGACTCCCACCAAAAATATGATATCATATACGAACATATTTATATTCAATGTAAATAAGAATGGAAAATAAATGTTCGAACGGGAAAAATATATGCTGAGAATTAATGGCTACGGGCGCATGCTTCTTCCAAGCATTGCTGACAAACAAATAATAAATTCATGGTGCTTGAATTGATGAAGACCGGAGTGGAACTCATGAGTCGGTGTTGGAAAGTGATAATATCAGAGAGGAAGCTAGAATAGCAGGGAATGAGAAAGCGCGGGGATGCGGGAAAAGATAGAAACCGGAATGGGAAGGGCCCGGAATACAAACAATGAAAGAGAACCGCAACGATAATTCGAGGGAACCGGAATGTGAGGAATACGAATGAGCGGGGATAAGAAAACGAGAGGAAAAGGAAAAAATATAAGTGGAGGAACATGAATGATCCGGAATGGAAAAATTGGGAATGATCCAGGAAGGCTAGCCAACTACGCCACGTAAACCGGCCACGTCACGCGAGCCGGCCAAATTGCGCCTTCTTCCTCGCCCCCTCCTCCTGCCGTTTTCTATTCCTTTATCTTGCCACTGTTGCCTCTATTTCTCTTCCTACCTTCCACCCCTTTCATATGGCGACGAGATCTATACATATCCACTGCTCCTGGCCAGGCCCATCCTGGGCCCAGGATCTGTGTATATGCCTCCCTGGCCAGGCCAGGAGGGCGTATACACCGCTCCTGGGCCCAAGATTGGCCTGGCCAAGAACAGTGGATATGCATAGATCTCGTCGCTCTATTTCAGGGGAAAACAAAAATACGGATTGCACGAAACAACTTTTAGATGGAATCGGAAATATACTGAAACCAGTGCCCGTGATGCTGAACCGTTGCTGGAAGACCGCACCCACATACATCAAACCCCAATCGATGTGTATAGTTACAGAAATTGCATTGCAGGTCCTCGAAAAGGGAATTGTAGGAACAATGCAAAGTCGGTGCCGCTACGGTCACATCAACCAAATAGAAAAAAACTACACTTGCACGCAATGCGTCTTGACATTGGCGAACCGAGCTTCGTTGTTGGATTCAATGAACGCTGTTTTTTTTTTTTTTTTTTTTTTTTGGATGAGCCGCCATTTCGCGCGTTGTTGTATTTAGAAATAAGTGCGTGTCAGTCAGTGTACAATAGCCACGGGGGGCTCAAGCGAGCACCGTGCCAGCAGGGTATCTCACATATCTCTGCCCTCCTACCCTGCCGCGAGCCATGGCATCCGCGGCATCCGCAGCAAAGGGCAGGCGCCCCACCGTGCTGTCGGAACCGGACATGGCGAAGTTGCGGAAGCTTCTTGCAGAAGGAGACAAAGAGGCCGCAACCCAGATGCTGGACGAAGCCAGCGCGCAGGAGAAGGGGGGGGACGAGGAGGAGGATGTGGAGAAGGACGAGGACGCTGAGCTTGAGCAGGGCCGGAGGAAGCTCGAAGACATGGGCCTCGAAGGAGCAGCCGCCTCAGACGGAGCAGCCGCCCCAGCTGACGCAGGGGCGCGCGGGCGGAAGCCCGCCGGATCCGGTGCGAAGAAGGCGACGGAGAAAGCGACGGAGGCGCTCGAAGCCATCAAGGGGCTGAAGCAGGAAGTTGCCTCAATGAAGTATGCCGCAGCCCTGACGGAGGAGAGAGAGATGAAGACGCTGATCACACTCATCCCGACCAAGCGTATCAAGGCTAAGGAGTTCTGGGAACAAAGCAAGGACGTCGAGAAGGCCATCCTGTCGAACGGGCCCCTAAAGGACAAGGTCGTGCAGGCCTTCGCGAACCAGGCCAAGAACGAGAAGAAGATCTTCGTCCGGGTGAAGGCGGGCTACCAGAAGAAGGAAGTGGAACAGGCTCTACCGGAAGTGGTTGGACGCTTCAACTTGCGGGTCAACTTCACAGTCTTGGAGAACAAGGCAGCAGCAGGCAAGACGTGCAGCATCGCATTCTCGGCGGTGAAGGCAGCACTCGGCTTCGAGAAGCTCACCAATAAGGAGGTGGAGACCATCTGGCCCCGGGAGCCGCTCTCGCCGCAGTGGAGCCTGGCCACCAAGGACGACGGCATCGTTCTGGTGACCGGCAGCACCATCACGACCCCCACGGGCAGCAAGCACGAGGTCACGTTCAAGCACGTCATCGCCATCCAGGGCTACTCGATCGACGGCGCCGCCGTGGAGTCGCAGTTCCAGGATTTTCTGAGGCCGCATGCGGACGTAGTTCCTTTCCTAGTGGTCACAAGGGTGGCCCCGGAGGAGGCCGCTCTTGCAGCAGCGCCCAAGAGAGCCAGAATTGAGAAGTGACAGACACGGGACAGGCAGCCAGAGCACCGATCACACCGGACAGAGCCAGCTCATCCACTCTCGCCGCTTGCTGCCTCTCTTCCCCACGCCGCGCCTAGGCCTGGCGACGGGGGGCGCGACGGCGAGCAGCCGACGGAGGCCGAGAAGAGCAACAGAGGCCAAACCAAAAATCCAAAGAACGATCAGCTACATTTATCGCCTTCCTGCCCTGTGCCTGCCGCTGCCGTTGCCCTTGCCGGCCCCTCCCCCCCTCCTGCCCCTTCCCTGCCTTGCCCCCCTCTCCCCTCTCGCCCCCTTCCCTCCCCGCCGGCGCCAGGAGCTGCCGACCGACGGGCGCGAGCAGCGCCAGTCCCGGAACCCCGTTCCGTCCTCTCCTCTCGCACCGCCCCCGCTACCGCCCTGGCAGAGCCGAGCGGCAGCGGCGGGCAAGCCAGCGAATCCCGCCTCGGTCCCTTGGCAGAGTCAGGGCCGGGGGGGTCCCAGGACTACCTCGCCCAGAGGGCGGGGGGCCGGGCGCGGGCTATCCCACTGGAGCGTCCAGAGTCTAATGCTGGATGTTCTACCCTTGCTGGATCATCATCAGCCGTCAGTGGCGTGGCGGGTCAGCCGCGGCCAGAGCACCGAACTTCACCTACCTGTCCGTTCTCCTCCTCCCTCCTCCCTCCCTCTCCCCCTCCCCTCCCTCCTCCTCTTCCCCCCTTCCCTTCCCCCGCCCTCCCCCGTTCCCCTCGCCCCTCTCCTCCGGACATGCGCATTGGACACGGCCTGCGGAGACCGAGTACCGCCCCCAGGGAAGCGGGCTGTCGGAGGCTTCGAAATACCGCTCGAGGATTGCGAAAGGCCACGTCTGTCGCAGCGCGACGGGCGAGGCGCAGCGTGAAACGGAACGAGGCCAGACGACGAAAACGTCATGGGGGAGGCCCGCTTCCCCAGGCCCTTCGGGCTCAGGAGCCCAAGGGCACACGTACCCCTAGTTTCAAAATTCCATACCTACACGAATTACACATAGCTACCTTGAATGTGCAAGGCACCAAGGACCCAATTAAACGCCCAGAAATCGAACGATGGATGCAACAAAATAACATCGACGTGCTGTGCGCGCAGGAAACACACGTCCCCGACAACCACCACGAGAAGCGACAAAAGTACCGTTGGTTCTTCAGCGGCGAAACGCGCGTTCAGCCCGATGGTCGCTTCTCCGCTGGCGTAGCCATCGTCGTATCAAACGAATTGGCGAATTATATTATGGATGTACAGCCAGTCAACGATCGACTGATGTACCTAGTGCTAAATCACGTTGCTCCAGTCACTGTGATGTGCTGCTACAGCCCCACAGCGGCCGCGCCAACAGGCATCAAACAAACATTCTATACAAGCGTGGAGCAACTGCACAAGCAGCGCTGCAAACGCGGCCCTGTATATCAACTTGGAGATTTCAACGCACGAATACAAGCGAAACTCACACCGGACGAAAACGTCATTGGCCCTTGCACTTTTGACCCTGGCACGGCGTGTTTAGAACAGCAGTCAGAAGAAGTGCACGAGAACCGGCAGCTATTCATCTCCCACTGCATCGCCACGCGCAGTTTGGCCATGAACACATTTTTCTCCAAGCCACCGGAAAAACTCGCCACCTACAGGGCGCCAGGGGCACAACGGGGCCCGCCTTTCAGGAGGGGGCCGCACGAAATGCTGGATTATGTTCTGGCGCAGCAACGCTGGAAGAACAGCGTTCGTAACGTTGAAAGCCACACATCTGCGAACCTCTCTTCCGACCACTACCCAGTGGTTGCGACTCTTGAGATAAGATTGAAACAAATTCACAAGCCTACGGGCCACGAGAGGCGCAAATATCTCCCATGCTCTGACGAACAAAAACAAGCATTCAATGAGCACATGAGGGAGCACTGGCCACAGGAAGCCACGCCCGCAAATCTCGCCGACGTCATGCGGCAGGCGGCGGAGGGCAGAATACCGGAGCTACCGCCGAAACGTAAACCGCAAGAGGTCTCTGCAACAGTGGAGTCCCTCCTCCAAAGACGCCAACATGTCATCGAGCACAATAACGACCCGGACGCCATCAAATCACTTACTGCCCAAATAAAAAAACAACGCCGGCAAGACAAAAAACAGGCTATGTTAGACTCCGTGCAGCAGAACATGGACGTTCGAGACCGGTGGATGGGCCTCAAACGCTTGCGAGCCGAGTACACGCCACAACCATACGCGTACAAAAAAGCAGACGGCGCACCCGTCCCCCTGCACGAACGAGCGGAAGAAGCAGCTAAACATCTTGCAACCAAGCAGTGGGGGGCACCAGCGGGGCATGCTGCCGCGCAGATGCCGTGGGGGGATCCAGTAGTGGATCACCCCCTGGCGTGGGACTTATCCCCGCTGTCGTTGACGGAATTGCGGGCAATTTTAAAGAAATTCAAACGGCGGAAAGCACCGGGCCCAGACGAAGTACCGATGGAGTTTTTCAAGGAAATGGATGACGACACGCTCGCTCTAGTAGTGGGCACCCTCAACGATTGGTGGACCCAACGGCACATTCCGGAAGAATCTTTAAAGGCGAGGGTAGTTTTCTTATACAAAAAAGGCGATTCGAGCAATCTGAACAACTACCGCCCAATATCGCTTCTGAACAGCATTTACAAAATCTTCGCAGCCTTCATCCAAAGACGTCTCTCTTACACACTTGATCCTCACCTCCAGAAAACACAATACGGATTCCGACAGCGGAAGAGCACGGCGCAGGCCATCCACCTTGTGCGGAGAGCCATGGAATACGGAGAGCGAACCGGGAACAACCTTTTACTCTTGCTACTCGATTGGGAAAAGGCGTTCGACAAAGTGAAGCACGGGGCGCTTTTCCAGTCTCTCGAGCGCATGCAGGTTCACCCACGGATCCTCGATACGATCCGCTCTCTGTACGCCAGACCAACCTTCTTTGTTGAAATCGAGGGCTCTTCGTCACAAATGCACGAACAAGCCACAGGCATACGCCAGGGCTGCCCGTTGTCACCGTATCTGTTTCTAGTAGTTATGACATGCCTCTTCCATGACGTCCATACTCACCACGCCCTGGACCAAGACCTGCAGGCAGGGAGGGTGCCAGGGCAAACAGAGGACGAGATTTTGTACGCAGACGACACAATTTGTGCTTCCACCAGCAAAACCGCCTTGGAAAAACTGTTGCACGCAATCGAGGCAGAAAGCGAAAAATACGGCTTGAAACTTAATGAAACCAAATGCGAAATCATTCAATTTGGGCAACACATGACCCTCAAATTCCGCCATGGAACAGTTGTGCCACACATGCACAAAGTAAAGTATCTGGGATGTCTAGTCAACGACAGAGGAGACCCGCAGATGGAGCTGCGACATCGCATTTCGGTGTGCATGGGGGTCTGGAAAAAGCTTGGCCTGTTTTTCAAAAGCTCAGACTGCTCCGTCCGATTGAAATTACAAGTATTCAATGCCGTTCTACGCTCGAAGCTCATATATGGCCTGGAGTCGGCACAGCTCACGGAGAGCTCACGGCAACGCCTGGACACATTCCAGTTGAAGGGTCTCAGACAAATTTTAAAGATTACAACGACATATGTTGACAGACAACACAGCAACACATATGTATACACGCGCGCTAACGAGCAGTTGCAGGCCCAGCGGCCTGAAGACCGCATTGAAAGGCTCAGTGAATACTACGCGCGCATGCGGCGGAAATTCTTCGCAACCATACTTGCCAGCAGGGACGACGATCCTGTGAAAACTATGTTGCTCAACCCATCAACACTAAAGCAGCACGAAGTGGGGACGCTCCGCGTGGGACGGCCCAAGATGAGTTGGTATAAGGTGACGCTCTCTGAATATTGGCAGGAAATTGGCAAATCCTATGACGTCCGCGTTGCCGGGTTACCACTCAATCTCGAGGACGAGCGGCATGTGGCGCTGTTGAAGCAGGCTGCAAGTGCTGGCTTTCACTGAGCTGTCTGTCCCTACACATTCGACATTCTAGCTACACTACAGTACGGCACACACATGTCACATAGGTAAGTAGGTAGGCATGTACCTCTCCTCGTCCTCCTCCTCCTTCAGGGGTTCGCCTGCAGGAGCGGATTGCGCAGGGCGGCAAGGACCGCACAGGCGCCCGGCCGGAGCGCAGTCGGAGGCATGAGGTCTATGCCACGGGTAAAAGTCAGTGTACAATAGTGTGAAGAGCGTCGAAAATTGTTTCGTTTTCGATGCATAAATTGAAACATTCGTATTGAACATGTCCTTGCATTTTCTCCGCGTGATATCAAACACGTCTTTATTTATACGTGCACCAGGTTTGAAATTCTAGACGCTACACGTATCCCCACCAACCCATCCATGAACGATGCGTAGGGGAGTTGACGGAAGAAAGGAAAAAGAGATGCGCATAATGAAACCGAGCGGGCAACAACGGTGAATCGGGAGATGTTTTGTGCTCTTGTTCTGGTTGGTACTGTTTCTGTTGCTGTTGGTGTTGCTGGTTCTCGACCAGCGAATGCCCAAGCGAATGGAGGTGATCGTAACCAAAAGATGGAAAACCCGTCTTCCAAGACGGCGAGGATGGAAAAAGAATCCGAGGAGCATGAAGAGAAAGTGAAGGAGGAGGAGGGGGAAAAGGGGGGGAGGAGGAAGAGGAATAGGTGGATGAAGAGGAGGAGGAAGAGGAGAAGCAGCAAGAAGAGAATGAGGAGGAGGAGGAGGAGCAAGAGGAGGAGAAAGGCAAGCAGAATGGCCAGAGGCCTACTGGATGCCTCTTGGAGTCTCTTCACATGTTTTTTGGGAGCACCCTGAAAGCATCTTAAAGCGTCTTGGGGGCCTCTGGGCGGTCCCGGAAACGTCTTAGGGATCTCCTGACGTTTTTGGAAAGGTCTTGGGCATCTCGGGCGCTTCGGGGGGGCCTCTTGGGGCCAGTTGGGGCCCTCTTGGGGGCCTTTTGGGTGCCACTTGAGGCCATCATGGGGCCATCAATCGAATGATCTGGCTGCATGGTTTACCTCATCTATTTTGATCAGAACCCGCGCTTTGTCCAACCATCGTGCTTAATGTCTGCTTGCATTTTGAATGGTTTGTTCTTCACGACCTTGGCGCTCTGCAATTATTTATCCGAAGAACTTGAATCGAAAACT